AATGACAGTCCGATTAAAATACTTCATGAACTCATCCAGACTTTCATTCCATTTCTAGCATGCAATTTAAATAAGAAGGGATACCTCATTATTGGAATGAAAGTTTTCAGGTAAGACGAAAAATTTTAAAATTGGAATGACATTTTTTTAAATGGAATAAAAATTTGAAATTTAGAATGTAATTTTGCTATAGAATGATTATTTAATTTTGAGAATTTTTTTTGTTGAACAAAAAAATTCCTACGATAAATGAAAGTTGAAAAAACATTCCATTAAAAAAAAAAATTCTTCATATTTATAAATTATCATTCCAATGTTTGTCAAATTCTAAAATTTTTAGTTTTATTTGATAAGTTCCCGTCTAAATATGAGCTTGCCTTCCAACTATATATATTTGTTCAAGACGGAATGAAAGTCTGAACGAGTTTATGAAATGTTTTAATTAAACTTTCATTCTATTATAACAAATACTTTCTAATTTAGATTGGATAAACCTATTTATGACTGAAAATCCTTACTTAGAATGACAGTCCAATTAAAATATTTCATGAACTCATTCAGACTTTCATTCCATCTCTAGCATGTAGTTCAAATAAGAAGGGATACCCCATTCTTGGAAGGAAAGTTTTCAAGTAAGACGGAAAATTTTAAAATTAGAATGATATTTTTTAAGGTAGAATGAAAATTTAAAATTTAAAATGTAATTTTACTACAAAATTATTATTTAATATTAGAATTTTTTTTTTTTGATGCCCTCACTTCTTTTGGGGGTCTGCTTCTACCCAAGGACCAGTCCAAAGCCCCTCACTTTTTTTTGGGGTCCACTTCCACCCGGCCCGAAGACCGGTTCTGCCTTTTTTCAAAAGTCCCGGTTCTACCTGAGCTAGCTGTAGGTAGTACTAGTCCGCAATTTTCACAAGGACCTGTTCCCCAATTTTTTTTGCCCCCTTTGCGTCCTGGTCGCCTGCCCGAAAAATGTGACACCTTGACACAGACGCGGAACTTGAAGCCCATTATATCGCAGTCTTAGGGCTGCGAATATTAAACCATTTAAAAAAAAGAATTTAGACTGCGAAATAATTGTCACGCCGATTCGACACATTTTTCATTTTTTCCACTTAGCCATGTGTGGGTCAACTAAAAAAGTACTACTCAAAATTCAGTGAGTTTTCGCGCTCAGAAGAATGTGTGAAAAAACAAGAAAATTGGATTACTCGTAGATTTTGTTATGATCTTTCCAGGAAAAATGCTCGATAAATTTAAAAAAATCATTCCAACTGTGAAATCGATCGTGACTGCAGTTTGACCCATATTTCAATTTTGTCATTCAGCCTCTCTCTTTCTCTCTCTCGAGAAATGAAAGTTGAAAAAAAATTCCATAAAAAAAAAAATCCTTCATATTTATAAATTATCATTCCAATGTTCGTCAAATTCTAAAAATTTCAAGTTTGTTTGACAAGTTTCTGCCTAAATATGAGTTTTCCCTTCTAAGTACATTTATTTGTTCAAGATGGAATGAAAGTATGGATGAGTTTATGAAATATCTTAATTAAAGTTTCATTCTACTATAAAAAATATCTTCTAATTTAGATGGGATTAACCTATGTATGACTGAAAATCCTTACATAGAATGACAGTCCAATTAAAATATTTCATAAACTCATCCAGACTTTCATTCCATCTCTAGCATGCATTTCAAATAAGAAGGGGTACCTCATTCTTGGAATGAGAGTTTTTAAGTAAGACGAAAAATTTTAAAATTGGAATGACATTTTTAAAGATGGAATGAAAATTTAGAGTGTAATTTTACTATAGAATGATTATTTAATTCTGATTTTTTTTTTT